ACGCACCATTTTCACATATGCTGATTTGTGGTGGTGCTGGAGATTATGAATATGAAGTTTGATTTAAAAAAAATATTCCTTTAAAGGGATAGATCGGGATTTTGGCAATGAGGCACTTTATCTACTTCCCCAAAGTCAGATGAACTGGTGGATACCATTTTTATGTCTCTGTGTCCAGTATGAAGAAAGAGGTAGTTTTGCGAGTCAATGCTAACTAGCATTGGCGCAATGACTGGAAGTCTGAAGAAACAGCTAGCTAACGCTAGTTAGCAACTTCCTTCAAACTGCACGCAGATACACTTCCGGTCAAAAGTTTTAGAACACCTACTCATACATTGCAGAATAATAGTGAAGACATCAAAACTATGAAATAACACATATGTAGTAACCAAAAAAGTGTTAAACAAATCCAAATATATTTTATATTTCAGATTCTTCAAATAGCCACCCTTTGCCTTGATGACAGCTTTGCACACTCTTGGCATTCTCTCAACCAGCTTCATGAGGTAGTCACCTGGAATGCATTTCAAACAACAGGTGTGCCTTCTTAAAAGTTAATTTGTGGAATTTCTTTCCTTCATAATGCTTTTGAGCCAATCAGTTGTGTTGTGACAAGGTAGGGGGGGTATACAGAAGATAGCCCTATTTGGTAAAAGATCAATTCCATATTAAGGCAAGAATAGCTCAAATAAGCAAAGAGAAATGACAGTCCATCATTTCTTTAAGACATGAAGGTCAATCAATATGGAACATTTCAAGAACTTTGAAAGTTTCTTCAAGTGCAGTCGCAAAAACCATCAAGCGCTATGATGAAACTGGCTCTCATGAGGACCGCCACAAGAATGGAAGACCCAGATGATACGTTTATTAGAGTTACCAGCCTCAGAAATTGCAGCCCAAATAAATGCTTCACAGAGTTCAAGTAACAGACACATCTCAACATCAACTGTTCAGAGGAGACTGTGTGAATCAGGCCTTCATGGTCGAATTGCTGCAAAGAAACCACTACTAAAGGACACCAATAAGAAGAAGAGACTTGCTTGGGCCAAGAAACACGAGCAATGGACATTAGACCGGTGGAAATGTGTCCTTTGGTCTGGAGTCCAAATTGGAGATTTTTGGTTCCAACCGCCGTGGCTTTGTGAGGCGCGGTGTGGGTGAACGGATGATCTCTGCATGTGTATTTCCTACCGTAAAGCATGGAGGATGTGGTGTTATGGTGTGGGGGTGCTTTGCTGGTGACACTGTCTGTGATTTATTTAGAATTCAAGGCACACTTAACCAGCATGGCTACCACAGCATTCTGCAGCGATACACCATCCCATCTGGTTTGGGCTTAGTGGGACTATCATTTGTTTTTCATCAGGACAATGACCAAACACACCTCTTTTACCAAGAAGGAGAGTGATGGAGTGCTGCATCAGATGACCTGGCCTCCACAATCCACCAACCTCAACCAAATTGAGATGATTTGGGATGAGACGGACCGCAGAGTGAAGGAAAAGCAGCCAACAAGTGCTCAGCATATGTGGGATCTCCTTCAAGACTGTTGGAAAAGCACGGTGTAGGCAGTCATTGTAATTAAGAATTTGTTCTTAACTGACTTGCCTAGTTAAATAAAGGTTAAATAAAATAAAATATATATTTTAAAAAATCCAGGTGAAGCTGGTTGAGAGAATGCTAAGAGTGTGCAAAGCTGTCATCAAGGCAAAGGGTGGCTATTTGAAGAATATAAAATATAAAATATATTTGGATTTGTTTAACACTTTTTTGTTTACTACATGATTCCATATGTGTTATTTCATAGTTTTGATGTTTTCACTATTATTCTACAATGTAGAAAATTGTAAAAATAAAGAAAAACCCTTGAATGAGTAGGTGTTCTAAAACTCTTGACCAGTAGTGTACATGTATTTTTAATCCACGAGTTAATCTGACTCAGGGGAAGTAGTTATAAAGGGCGTCATTGCCAAAATCCCAAACTATCCCTTTAAGCAAGGTGTAAAAGCCTGCATGACAACATGCTGAGCTGTTGACACAAGAACAAAGAAATTATTCAACAGAACCAGTTCATCGAGCCCATCCAGTTCATGGTCGGTAAAAACGCTACACTATACCTAAGTACACATTACAACTACACAGTGGCGTGAATTCATGGAAGCCAAGGGAAGCCAGGCTTCCCCAAAAAATTTACCAAGACAAAAATACATATATAATCTTTTTCGTCTCTCTGTTTCATAATTTGCAAGAGGCTTAATGTATCGCACCGGAGAAGGCATCAGAGCAAGCGAAAAAGCTCCCCTCTGTCTCTGTATGTGTAGCCCATTTATCTGATGCTGTCTGGTCAAAAATAGTATGACATTATTGCCGTCCGTAGCATTGAATGCGAAGGAAGCCAGCAAGCATTCGGCCTCCCTTGATAATAAAATAAGTGAATAATAGCCAATCAGCGTTGAAGTAAACTGAGTGAGCTCAACCGTGAATGGTCCTGGCGCACCAAAAAATAAGTGTCAAGGAAGCCAGTTGGATTTGGCTTTACACTAATCAAGTCACATCAGAAGCCAAACGTCATTGACAGAACAAACTTAAACTGTTGCATCTTGTTGTGTCGTTGTCCTCCCGTGGCTAGCTAGCTAGCTAAAATTGTCCCTCTCCTAAATTAGCCATGGATGAAAATAGGAATTTGGACTTGTGGTTTTAATTAATTCTCCGTACTGGCCAATGATTATAACGGCGATTCTGATCCAACCATAAATTCATACATTGTGCCCCTGGCCTGAGAAGATGGAAGTTCAATAAGTAGCTAGATGTAGTAGGCTAATGTTAACTAGCTGGCTCATCGTTGCCCATGGAAGGAAGTTAGGCTAGCGAGTAAGCATTTTATCCAGGTAGCCTAGGACAACAAAAACTTAAAAGTGTGTACTGCAGGGGTAGGCAACCCAGTTCCTGGAATACCGTAGGTAATTCGTTTTTGGTATCTTTTAGATGTCACTGTATTAGACTAAGCATAGGTGATTTGATGATGTTGAAATGTTGAAGTTGAAATGGTGCTGGAATAGTGGAGGTAGCTCCTATTTTCTTCTTTATTTTATTATTATTTATTATTATTATTATTATTATTTTCTTTGCGACGTGCAGTAACTCTCTGTGGTTCCAAATCAATAGGCCTAGTTGTTTAGTAGTCCGAAAATGTCGGAAACATTAACTTGCTTAATCATGCTATAGGTAATGTAACTGTTCGTTACATGCGATATGCTTTGTGGACTTCACCAGAGAGATGTTGCTCTCCGGTTTTGTGATGAAACAAAGGTGAGGTTGAATGTGCCACTGTCTCTTCTTATTGTCTCGGCCTTAGGCCTATATATAACGATGGCAAGGCATATGAATTAACAGATTATAGAGCAAACAACGCAATTGTCACAATCCATAGGTGGTAATTTGGCATCCTATAAGTTGTAATATGGCATTTTTTTCCCCTGGCTTGGCTTCCCAAGGGATTTTACCCAGGCACCGCGACTGCAAGTACAGCCATCAGACTTACCTCAAAGATATATGTGGCTTGAGTGACAGAGATGCTCTGGTCATAGGTAACATTAATATACTGGTCATTGACCAGGACCAGGTTAGGGAAAGGACCCTGGAATGAGACGCCCTCCTCCCCATAAGCCACAGCTCTCGCCCCTAGAGACAGTCTGTAGGCCACGTCCTGCTTGTCCCGGGGATGGATACTGGAACATAAAGTCACTGGTAAACCTCTTGTTCCACATTCTAATACCCACACTAACATACCACTTAGAATGAAGCAATGCATGCATCGTAAGTGGTATGCTAGTATCGATATTGGAATATAGCTTTGTGTTCTCACATTATTCATATGTGAACTGCCTAACACTTTAGAAGAGTACATGCCTATCGACTACTGTGCTATGACTATGTTACTTACCTGACATAAGGAGACATTTCAAAAAGTTGATCCGACCACCCTCTGCAGGTCCCTTTGTGTAGAGCACCTTCAAGTTGGCCACTGTACGTACCACTGTGTAGTTTGTACTATGAACTGGGTGGTTCGAGCGCTGAATGCTGATTGGCATATCAGACCGTATACCACGGGTATGACAAATCATTACTTTTTACTGTTCTAATTACGTTGGTTACCAGTTTAATAGCAATAAGGCACCTCGGGGGTTTGTGGTATATGGCCAATATACCACAGCTAAGGTCAGTGTCCAGGCACTAAGTGTTACGTCACGCTTTAGAACTTAGCTGTGGTATATTGGCCATATTCCACACCCCCTCCTGCCTTATTGCTTAACTATAGTTGATTTGGTAGACAATGTAGATGGACTACACCTGGCATTTCAATAAAAAACCCACTCATTTATTTCATTGATCATCAAATATTAATAATAATAATAATAATAATATGCCATTTAGCAGACACTTTTATCCAAAGCAACTTACGATTTGTGCATACATTTTTAGGTATGGGTGGTCCCGGGGATCGAACCCACTACCCTGGCGTTACAAGCGCCATGCTCTACCAATTGAGCTACAGAGGACCACAAGGTAATAATGATTATTGCTCATATTGTATAATTCAAAAACACATTTCCCACTGCGTAACTAAATGTAGAATACCATGTGAAAACAAATTATACTAAAATTCAGCTTCAGTGCAATTGTAAACAATCCATAGAGGATATTGGTTTTGTAGATAATTATGTTCAAGAGAATTCAAAGATACACACACTGAAAGACTGCCATCAGTTTCACACTGATGCCTCAAGAGGAAACGGTTAGCATTTCATTTCCAGTCTTGACACTAGTGCATCTTGTTAACCACCACACCATATTTGGGTGGACTAATTCATTCCTAGGAGAGGGGGGTTCTCGTCTCACTGCCACTTGCCTGGCCAGCGGTTGAGAGTGAAGGGAGGTGCAGGTAGAACCCCATCAGCACTGTTAATAGGACATGCCTTAAAGTCACAAGGCCAGTTCCCTCAAGCGTAGCGCAGGCCGGCTACATTGTTCATGAAACAGTTAGTGGTGGACAATTGGACGGCGCTAACGCCCCACTGCAGTATGGGAGCTGGGACCCACAGTGACAGAGCATCACAGGGTGCCCTCACCCCTGAGCAGCAAATCTGAGGAAGAAACAGTCTGTTTAAGAAATGGTTTCCCCATATACTTTTCTTTTAGCAAGGTGGAAAAGCATGCATGACAACATGCCGAGCTGCTGACAATAACAAAGAAAGAATTCAGACCCAGTTCATCCAGCCCATCCTGTTCATGGTCAGTAGAAACACTACACCATACCTTAGTACACATTACAAGTACAGCAATCAGACTTACCTGAAAGATATCTTTGGATTGAGCGACCGAGATTCTCTGAGCATAAAAATGTTGATATACAGGTCAGAGACCAGGATCCGGTTAGGGAAAGGCCCCTGGAATGAGACGCCCTCCTCCCCATAAGCCACAGCTCTCGCCCCTAGAGACAGTCTGTAGGCCACGTCCTGCTTGTCCCGGGGATGGATACTGGAACATAAAGTCACTGGTAAACCTCTTGTTCCACATTCTAATACCACACTAGCTTAGGGCCAGAACGATACCAGTTTCACAATACTCATTAATATTGTGGCAAGGAAACAAAACACAAAGCAGATTTTACTTCTTTAGGAAAACAGCCCTAATGTTGGAAACAAACATCATTATGTTGTCATCGGGTCACATTTATTTATTTTCCAAGCTATAGAACACAATATTTTACATACAGCAGGTTTTTAAAGGAACAAAGAGTTTGGTCTGCTTTGTGTTTTCATTTTTGTCATGGAAAAAATACTGCAATACTGGTATCGTCCCTCTCCTAACTAGCATACCACTTAGGAAGCAATGCATCCTAAGTGGTATACTAGTATCGATATTGGAACGTAGCCTTGTGTTCTCACAGTATTCGTATGTGAACTACCTAACACTTTAGAAGAGTACATGTCTATCGAATACTGTGGTATCCATTCTATGACTGTTACCTGCCATAAGGAGACATTTTATCTCCTAAGTCCATAGCAACGGCCATGAATGTGTTCCTCATACGCAGGTTGGGAGCAAAGCCATAGTCTCCAGTCTGGTGCCAGCGTATGTTTGGAAATGGGGCGGCAGGTGGCTTAGTGGGTAAGAGCGTTGTGCCAGTAACCGAAAGGTCGCTGGTTCTAATCCCCAATTGGAATCCCTCACTTAAGGAGGCCTTTCTATACGTAGAGAGCTGAGGACAAATATATAGACAGGGTCAATGTAACAGTGTTAGCAGCAGTTGGTAACACATCCTGTTGTGATACATTGTCAAAGCAATGTAGTGATTGCTATTATGTGAGATACATTCACAGGGGATTAGGTGTTGTCACGATTTCATTTGGTGAACAAAAAGGAGAGCAGTTGTTGATAAAGCCAATCAAAATCAAAATGGTTTATTACAAGAATTCAGGGAGAACACCTCCAGAACAGAAGCAAAGAAAAAATCTAACGGGCCTTCTGCAAGAAGGACCTTATCACACAGCACTGAATGTTCTGTAAACACCAGCCGAGAGGCTTGTAGGACATCACAATATCAGCTGATACAGAATCATAGTCACAGATACGTTAACGGTGCACCCTCGGCTCAGTCTGGTGTCAAGCTTTAACCATAACGTTTATGCGCTGCAGTAAGCCTAGCAGTTAAAGCATTGGGGCAGTAACCGAAAGGTTGTTTGTTCGAATCCAGGAGCCAACAAGGTGAAAGACCTCATGTGCCCTTGAGCAAGGCACTTAACCCTAATTGCTCAAGGGTCGCTGTTGATAATGGCAGACCATGATCCGCTTCTCCTCGAACTCCAGAAAACATCTACACCAGTGAAGTAGTGGTGAATTTTTTTTTAAGGCTCCCTATATTTTCTATGCTTTTATCCGTGATAGGTGGGTAAATGCTTGTGCAAAAGAAATTAAATGGTGTTTACCCTCGACTACACCACTGGTCTAGAAAATCTCCACACAGGTGTCCCCAGGCTGTCTCAATGGAACTCATGTTACAGGACAATTTGCTTCGGCACTAACATTCAGACGGTTCTAAAAAGTCACCAGGAAGAGAGGAGGCTACAGAATCATGTTCTCTTCTGTTTAAAGGATCAATGTACATTGTTGCTATGATGTGAAGAATAAAACAGTTGATCTGACTGCCCTCTGCAGGTCTCTTTGTGTAGAGCACTTTCAAGTTGGCCCCTGTAGCACTGTGTAGTTAGTACTATAGTTGATTTGGTTGACAATGTAGATGGACTACGCCTGGCATTTCAATAAAAACAATCTAATATTCATATGTGTCAGCATACTGAATTGTAATTGGATGCATTCTACCGTCGTATCATACTGCGCTATGATTGGTTAAGACCACCTAGGTGGTGAGGTCATCTTCAGATGATCATGGCCAGAGACACATGAACATGCCAGTTATAGCTAGCTAATAAAGAGCTAAGTTTAGAAGAATCCTGTCGTGCTGCATTTTATTATTTTGTACAAAGCATACAAAACAAGATAAACCCACTAATTTATTTCATTTTACTATCATTGATCATCAAATAATAAAACACGATAATAATGATTAACAACCATTGCTCATATTGTGTCATTCAAAAACATTTCCCACTGCGTAAATAAAAGTACAATACAATGTGAAAACAAATTATAGAAAGATTCAGAGCAATTGTAAACAAGCCAAAGAGGTGATTGGTTTTTATAGATAATTATGTAGTTATGTTCAAGAGAATTCAAAGATGCACACACTGAAAAACTGCCAACAGTTTCACACTGATGACTCAAGAGGAAACGGTTAGCATTTCATTTCCAGTCTTGCCACAAGTGCATCTTGTTAACCACCACACCATATTTGGGTGGAATAATCCATTCATAGGAGAGGGGGGTTCTCGTCTCACTGCCACTTGCCTGGCCAGCGGTTGAGAGTGAAGGGAGGTGCAGGTAGAACCCCATCAGCACTGTAAACAGGACATGCCTTAAAGTCACAAGGCCAGTCCCTCCATGCGTAGCGCAGGCCGGCTACATTGTTCATGAAACAGTTAGCGGTGGACACTTGGACGGCGCTATGGCCCCACTGCAGTATGGGAGCTTGGATCCACAGTGACAGAGAGTCACAGGGTGCCCTTACCCCTGAGCAGCAAATCTGAGGAAGAAACAGTCTGTTTAAGAAATGGTTTCCCCTGACACTTTTCTTTTAGCAAGGTGGAAAAGCCTGCATGACAACATGCCATGCTGTTGACAATAACAAAGAAAGAATTCAGACCAAGTTCATCCTGTTCATGGTTGGTAGAAACACTACAAAAATAATAATAATAATAATAAGATGTTGTACTGTCACATACACCGGATAGATGCAGTTAATTGTGTTGTTTTACAGGGTCAGCCATAGTAGTGCGGTGCCACTGGGGCAAATTAGGGTTAAGTGCCTTGCTCAAGGGCAGATCAACAGATTTTTCACATTGTCCGATCGGGTATTCGACCAGCAACCTTTTGGTTACCAGCCCAACACTCTAACCACTAGGCTAACTGCTACCCCATACCTTGATATGATATGATGATATGCCATTTAGCAGACGCTTTTATCCAAAGCGACTTACAGTCATGTGTGCATACATTTTTACGTATGGGTGGTCCCAGGGATCGAACCCACTACACTGGCGTTACAAGCGCCATGCTCTTATCAATTGAGCTACAGAGGACCACCTTAGTACATATTACAACTACAGCCATCAGGCTTACCTCAAAGATATCTTTGGATTGAGTGACAGACACCCTCTGGTCATAGGTAACGTTGATATACTGGTCATTGACCAGGATCCGGTTAGGGAAAGGCCCCTGGAATGAGACGCCCTCCTCCCCATAAGCCACAGCTCTCGCCCCTAGAGACAGTCTGTAGGCCACGTCCTGCTTGTCACGGGGATGGATACTGGAACATAAAGTCACTGGTAAACCTCTTGTTCCACATTCTAACACCCACATTAGCATACCACTTAGAAGGAAGCAATGCATGCATCCTAAGTGGTATGCTAGTATCGATATTGGAACGTAGTATTGTGTTCTCACAGTATTCATATGTGAACTGCTTAACACTTTAGAGTACATGTCTATCGAATACTGTGGTATCTATTCTTTGACTGTTACTTACCTGCCATAAGGAGACATTGTATCTCCTAAGTCCATAGCAACGGCCATGAATGTGTTCTTCATACGCAGGTTGGGAGCAAAGCCATAGTCTGCAGTCTGGTGCCAGCGTATGTTTGGAAATCCCTCACTTAAGGAGGCCTTTCTATACGTAGAGAGCTGAGGACAAATATATAGACAGGGTCAATGTAACAGCGTTAGCAGCAGTTGGTAACACATCCTGGTGTGATACATTGTCAAAGCAATGTAGTGATTGCTATTATGCGAGATACATTCACAGGGGATTAGGTGTTGTAGTCGGTTAGTCAGTACCTGTACAAATCCAAAAGGGAAGTCTGGTGCCGTCTGCCCCGCTGAACTCTGGTGGAAAGCCATCCTCCAGTCATCAATCATGGAGGGAAAGGAACAGGAGTATTTCTTCTGATTGTACTCTGCATTGGCCTCGCCTATCACAGGGGCCAGGTCAGAGGTCAGACATGTTGTTAATACTGTCTTCAGTTTCTATGCTGTTACTGTATGCTCAAAGATGGGAGAAAACAAATGTGACTCCAAGCTGTTTTACCTTGGTACCAGATAGCTCCTTTGATGGTCATGTTGAGAAGTGGATGGATCATGGCATTCCACAACACAGAGTTAGTCCACACAGACAAATACATTGAAGGTGTATATGGCATGGGGAACCTAGGTGAAAAGAACAGGACATAGGCCAACTGATATCAAGTACCATAGGTGAGACGATGATTTAAAAAGGTGCATGCTACCTGTATAATGTAAAATAGGTGCCTATACACTTACCCCTTAATCCTGTCCAGGTCACAGTGTTGGAGTGCTCGTGGGGAGGACCATGCCTCTACAGGTGTGCCTCCCCAGCAGGACGTCACTAGGCCGATGGGGTACTTCAGCGTCTTGTACAAGTGGCGCCCAAACATCCAGCACACTGCAGAGTAGTGCTTGAAATCCCCACCGCCCAGCAACTCTGTTCAGGGTTCAGGAGGGTTAAGATGAATACCCATTAACAAAATGTATTGATCCTATTTCACAGTCAATTGGCTGACAGCTAGCATTTACATGAAATTTCACATGTAATTTAGCCAATATTAGAGACTGTGTGGAGCCTGTCCATACCTGCTGTGGGGACGGACCAGGGCACCTCCACTCCAGCCAAGTCAGTCAGCTCAGTGTAACTCTGCTCCAAGGTAGCCATAAAGATACGCACCTGAGGGAACTTGGAGGCCAGAGCTAACTCCTCTGATGCATTAAACACCTTGAGGACAAGACATAACCATGGTTATTATTAAAACTATGCAAACTCAGACTTATTTTAACATTGCAGAGTATAGTCTCTGAGAGGTAATCTTTGGAATCATGCAGTACTCACCTGAGAAGTTGTGAAAGCCATGTTGCTCTGTCCCCCACACAGCCAGACATCCCCAAACAGCACATCTGTGAGAGTGATACTGTGGTTGTTCTGGAGGACTGCAGTCACGTTGTAGGGACCGCCAGCTTCCGTTGAGTCAAGGGTCACCCTCCATATCCCTGGGAAGACATCCAAAACCATGCATCAGTGAAGCTTACGCTTATGTCTTCATGTACAAGGCAGAAAAAGTGGGACACTGAGCACAATTAACTTAAAACAATTGGTGCTTTTTTTGTTCTTCACAATTCCTCATAGCTTTTTCCTAATTCTAACAAACGTGTCACTGTCACCTTTGCAGTACGACGTTAACATTTGTTAGAAAAGTAACTTGACAAGAGCTTAGGGTTTTATCAACTCTCCTTGAAATTACAGAAGTTCGGCTAACTTCATCCTCAACTTCATGACATGACTGTATACGCATGCTAAACTAAGGGCATTGTTGGGATCAGTTAGCTCACCGGCAGCCACACTGACAGCAGGTGCTTTGTTAGTGACTGGTCCTCCTGATAGAAAGACTGTGACCTCAGCATCATCGGGTCCATAGCCCCACAACACAGCCCTCTCTGGGGCCTTCTGCAGAACCATGTGATCGCCATAATAGGAGGCAAAGCGGAACCCGCCATCTGGAAACAAAAATGATAACATTATTATTATGAATCTACTGTATTAGAAAATATATATTTCTCCCACAGTCAATATTCAAGGAAATTAAACTAAATCATATTACGCATATTCAAAGTTAGACTGTCAAATAACATTTAATATTATCTTGACACATTGACCAGTTCACCGTTGCCTTGACAGTACAATTAATCATTCAATGTAGCTACAAACAATGATCCAATATATCAAACCTCTAGGCTACAGTTGCCACATCCTTTTAGAAGGAATAAAATAATCATAGCTACAGTTCTTGACTGATTCATGTTGTTGACAGCTCATGCTGCACATTCTGACAGGTAGACCCATAGAGATCCTATTAAATTACTCGAGGGGCTATGTCATAAACCCTCAAAGTCCAAAATGGTAGCCATCTTGGTCAGGGAGAGATCCAAAACTAGTCTAATTGGAATGAATGGCAGTAGAGGCATAGGTGATGCATTTCCTGCTTTTACTTAAGCAGGAAAATAAAAGTAAAGCATGTGATGTACCAGAAATGTAATGGAATTATAGTCAACCTAAAATATTGTCAATTATATATACAGTTTATACATGTTTTTACCAATTATCTGTATAAAGTTATCTTACTTTTGTTTTCTTGGAAAGCTCTGAGTGCTATTATACGATAGAATATTAGTACTGGTTTCATTTACATTCCAATAAAACATACATACAGTGCATTCAGAAAGTATTCAGACCCCTTCCCTTTATCCACATTGTTACGTTACAGCCTTATTCTAAAATTGATGAAATTATTTTTTTTCCATCAATCTACACATAATACCCCATAATAACAAAGCGAAAACAGGTTAAGAATGTTTTGTAAATGTATTAAAAATAAAAAACAGAAATACATTATTTACATAACTATTCAGATCCTTTGCTATGAGACTCAAAATTGAGCTCAGGTGCATCCTGTTTCCATTGATCATCCTTGAGATGTTTCTACGACTTGATTGGAGTCCATCTGTGGTAAACTCAATTGATTGGATACGATTTGGAAAAGCACACACTTGTCTATATAAGGTCCCACAGTTGACAGTGCATGCCAGAGCAAAAACCAAGCCATGAGGTGGAAGGAATTGTCCGTAAAGCTCCGAGACAGGATTGTGTCGAGGCACAGATCTAAGGAAGGGTACCAAAAAAGTTCTGCAGCATTGAAGGTCCCCAAGAACACAGTGGCATCAATCATTCTTAAATGGAAGATGTTTGGAACCACCAAGACTCTTCCTAGAGCTGGCCGCCTGGCCAAACTGAGCAATCGGGGGAGAAGGGCCTTGGTCAGGGAGGTGACCAAGAACCCGATGGTCACTCTGACAGAGCTTCAGAGTTCCTCTGTGGAGATGGGAGAACCTTCCAGAAGGACAACCATCTCTGCAGCACCACCAATCAGGCCTTTATGGTAGAATGGCCAGACGGAAGCAACTCTTCAGTAAAGAGGCTTCAGTAGGAGCGGCGTCGGGACAAGTCTCTGAATGTCCTTGAGTGGCTCAGCCAGAGCCCGGACTAGAAACCGATCAATAACTGGTTGTCCCACCTTTAGCTGCAATGACTGCAACCAAATGCTTCCTGTAGTTGTTGATCAGTCTCTCACATCGCTGTGGAGGAATTTCGTCCACTCTTGCATTCAGAACTGCTTTAACTCAGCGACTTTTGTGGGTTTTCAAGCATGAACTGCTCCTTTCAAGTCCTGCCACAACATCTCAATTGGGATTAGGTCTGCACTTTAACTAGGCCATTCCACAACTAATTTTTTGGGGGGTTTTAACCCCTTTTTCTCCCCAATTTCGTGATATCCAATTGCGATCTTGTCTCATTGTTGCAACTCCCCAACGTGCTCGGGAGAGGGGAAAGGTGGAGTCATGCGTCCTCCGAAACATGACCCGCCTAACCGCGCTTAACACCCGCCTGCTTAACCCGGAAGCCAACCGCACCAATGTGTCGGAGGAAACACCGTTCAACTGACGACCGAAGTCAGCCTGCAGGGGCCCGGCCCACCACAAGGAGTCGCTAGAGTGCGATGAGTCAAGTAAAGCCCCCCCGGCCAAACCCTCCCCTAACCCGGACGACGCTGGGCCAATTGTGCGCCACCCTATGGGACTCCCAGTCATGACACAGCCTGGGATCGAACCCGGAACTGTAGTGACGCCTCAAGCACTGCGATGCAGTGCCTTAGACCGCTGCGCTACTAGGGAGGCCCTAATTTGTTGCTTTTTAACCATTTTCATGTAGACTTGATTGTGTGTTTTGGATCATTGTCTTGCTGCATGACCCAGCGGCGCTTCAGCTTCAGCTCACACAAGGATGGCCTGACATTATCCTGCAGAATTCTCTGATACAGAGCAGAATTCATGGTTCCTTCTATTAAGGTAAGTCATCCAGGTCTCGAGGAAGCAAAGCATCCCCAAACCATCACACTACCACCACCATGCTTGACCGTTGGTATAAGGTTCTTACTGTGGAATGCAGTGTTTGGTTTTCGCCAGACATAATGGGACCCATGTCATCCAAAAAGTTCACTCAAGTTAGCCAAAAAGCACATGGAAGCACCTGGATGATCATCAACTCTTGAAAGAATGTTCTATGGACAGATGAGTCGAAAGTACAAACTTTTAGATGACATAGGTCCCATTATATACAACTCCTATCATCAACTGATTTGAGCCAGTGTATGGCTGTGGATTGACTGCACTGTATGAATGGAAGGTTGGCATATTGGCAGTTAATTTGAAAAGGTGTATGGAATCATTCCTCAAACTGTCTGGCTAGTTAACACACATACAGTGCACATACATTCTTCACATTCATTGTTTTACACATTATCTTATCATAACACTGGCAAATCATGGTTGACCAACTCCCTGACTAACATGGCTGACCTTTGGACCATCCTAAGAAGGTTCATGTACGTTCTAGTATTCTAATTCCTAATTCTATGGGTAGACCACTGCAATCAAAATATGGATTAAACAAGAAATTAACACTCACCAGAGGCATACAAGGATCCTAAAATAGTCAGAAACCACAAATATATCCTCACACGCATTGTCTAACTTGACTTGCTACATTACAACGCAAACAATTTAGTAATTGCTTTTTAAACGCTAAATGTCACGTGACTCTAGTTAATATTTCATCTGGAACATTAAAACGCTGTTTCTAATAACCTCCAGAAGACCATTGTGATACAGATCAAAGTCTGTCGCTCACACATGTTCACATTGATAATTATCAAGCTCGCTACAGTACTGTTTATCATAGGTCGGCAACTTTTGTTGCGCTTTGTAGAGGGGAAAAAATGCACAAACTACAGCTACTGCGAAGGACAAACAGTGCGACGGTGAAAACGTTCTGTTAGTAGCCTACAGCTTCATTGGTTCACATCCAGCTCTGGATGACAGAGACAGACAGTTGTTGAATCCTCCGTTAAGTGCCTCAATAGTGTGTGAGTGCATCAGACAAATGTTGCATGAAAATAAAATTGTATGACCATCATGACATATTTTGACGCAAATTATTAATGTTGGCTATCGTAATAATTTGAGAATCTTGGATGAAAGGGGGGAGTAGGGTAGCTATAGCAGGTTATTACTGTTGCATCTAGATTGGTTGGCTGCACATGTTTCTTCCAGTTAATATTGAAATAGTGAGACTGTGGTTATTGCACAGTAAAACAGACTGAAAAAGTCAAAAGTAACAAATGAGAAACACAATATTCAAGTGTTTATGTAATACATTTTTTTTTTTACACACTGGTCTTTTGTGAAGACAAATGAACAGGGCATGATTTACTGGCATGCATGTAGTTAAAATAAAGTTCCCATTCAGCAGAAATTAGTGATGGATTATAGGAACATAATTGAAAAGATGTTGCCTCGGGTGGCGCGATGACAAACGAGAGAATTACACTTCCTATGTTCAGCTCCATGAAAAGGCTACACATAGGAGTGATTAGTTTCCCGGACAATTATGGACTTTATGTTTGTGACGGTCATTTCACAAACTGACAAATACCATAATATCAAAGGAGTTGTTCTCCAGAGAGAGAGGTGCTAGTTAGACTACATGTGTATGTCTTAATTGTCCTCTTGGCATTTCTACTTCACAAACAACTAGGATATCTGCTGAAGATGATTTTTTTTCTGCTAGCATTAATTCATTTGTTTACTTTAATGTCCCTGTATGTTGTTAGAGTGCTTCATGCTTGGCCGTTCCCCAACAGACGTCGCTGATTATTGGTCTTGCTGTCATATCAAGCTACAAGCTTGTCAGCACACCTGCAAACCACTTCTAACTGTAGAGTTACAAAACACGTGTAATTCAAATACTGCATAGCCTACCATCATGATAAACAACACACTGTAAAAAGGAGGATTTTTTTTTTCATACAGTATCTTCATACATTATCTCCTCAGAGGATTATACATGTCTGAGAGACCCTGTGTGTTCTCTTAGATTTTAATATATGTATGAATAATTGGATTTTCATTAACAGAGTGCTTTGAATGTATTTCTTTGTCTGAGCCTGACTATAATCTGTCTATTCAGACTCATCTTGTTTTTCTACTCCCACACATTTAGAGATTCGGTAGTGCTAGCACACACATCTGTGTGTAGGAGGCATGTGCACACTCAGAATGCCTGTACTGTACTGTACCATAAGGTGCTAATAATATGCAGACAAAATACACATCCTTTCAGACATGCCTTTTTCATACATGTGTTTTTCTTATAATAGAAAAGGGCAAGTGCACAGCTGCAGACAGTTCCTCCTAATTCTATTTGGTACACCAACATCTATGGTTTTCATACCTAAGCCCCTGGAAATAATAATTGTATACAGCAGTGAAGGCTCCTCAGAGGAGAAAGGGGAGGACCATCCTCCTCAGTGAATTTGTATTTATTTTTTTATAGTGAAACATTAAAAAAGTTATCATTTTTAGGTAACATTTGAGTATCATGTAGTAGCCTAAACCTATCGATGTTACATTGAACTGGGTGAATGGAATATGAATGCCAGTCATCCAATATGCTGTAATACAAGTAAGGCCATCTTCATTTAAAAAAATGAGTATTCCTCCCTCACCTTAAATGGCACTGACCACCACTGGTATACAGTATATGTTTTATGGAATTTCCATTCAATACTGTATCTCTGGCAGATACACTTTATTTGATAATTGGACATTATCAGTCCTGACATCTGCACTCAAACGCTGTCAGATACCATATGGACAACCAATGCACTTCCTCCTCTAGCATTTACCATATCTGATACTGCAAGACTGTTAACCCTACCTTCCCGTGCATAGAGCTACCCTTTGTCTAATGATACACGTCTCTATGGCCAGTAAATTACTGATGATCACTTCAGTGTATCACTTTTTTTCCCCATGTCACACAAATTAATAACCGTAATTAGTGATATCTGGACAACATGTGTAAAGGGAATTTTCAGGTGAACCAAAAGGAGAGAAGTCGTTGATAATAAAAATCTATCCGGTTTAATACAAGAATTCAGGGAGAACACAGGCCCTTTATTTTCTAATCAGACAGTACTGAATGTTCTTTAAACATCAGTCTGAGAGGCTTATACCATCTGCCCTTTTGCCCTCCTATGAAAAAAGTGCCCTTTTGATTGGTGGCAAAAAATAACGTTTTTTTTTTTTTTTTGTCTCTTTTCTCTCTTGTAACTTTAAATTCAACGAATTGCCTATCAAACTAGATGATTTTTCCTAACTCTTGATTCTTGAAAATATTCCCCTCTCGCACCTTTCTGCCACCTTTCCTTCTACCCCCCCCCCCCCCCCCCCCCCAAAAAAAAAAAAAAAAAAAAAAAAAACATTGTAAAATGGTTATCCCACTGGCTATAAGGTGAATGCACCAATTTGTAAGTCGCTCTGGATAAGAGCGTCTGCTAAATGACGTAAATGTAAATGTAAAACTGTGAGTGCAGTAGTGTGTTGCTACCAATAACTGTATATTAGCTTCGTTGCAACCAAAATAGTTTTCATTGGGCTGGACTTGGGAAGTGGAGACAAAAAAGAACCCTATTACAATATAGCCAGCTTTACCTCCCCAAAAAACTTTTCCTGTCTACAAAGGCAAATCTATAATCTGAAAGGAACTCTACTTACCAGCCGTGAAGTGAAATGTGTCCCTCGCTATCAAAACATTTGTTTATCCAGGTTGGTCTTCCTCTTCGGCATTATGGCAGTCCGCAAACAAATGTCATAGGTGCATGCCACCACCTAATGTATTGGCTGTGTGTCAGTCTACTATTCTGTAGTATGAATTCATTACACTTTGTGAACAAATTGCACTACCAACTAACCCTACACCCATTAAAACCTCATCACTACATTGGCCTTATCTAATCCTACACCAGGCTGGCAGCCTGGGAGGATGGGACACTATCATTCAAAACACCTTGTAACTCTTCTGCAGTACAATCTCTATGTTTTGTGGAAAAAAATATATCTTTCCAATGACATCATTAACCAATTAGTAGGCAATGCCTACTCATAATTGGTTAAACTCACATGATGCACACCGATGATGTCATTAGAAACGCTTATCTTCCTCTCTTTTTCCCCGCAAAACATAGAAACGTGCCATTTTCACATATGTTGAGGTGGTGCTGGAGATGATGAATATGAAGTAAAACATTTTTTTGAAATTGTCCTTTAATGTCAGGAATATTGAATACCAATTATTTTAGTGTTACATCTATTTAAAGCATTTATTAGGCATACACTGTATACTAATAAAGTAGACTACAGTTACAAAATATATATTATATATGCCTATGTGTATTCACAGAAAACATTTGACAACATTTTATTTTTACATAATAATGCAAGTGTAATACTATAAACTATTTAATGTATGTATTGATTTTAATATCTAATTAACTCATGCAATTACAGCTTCATCCTGGACAAAAACATTTTGTGATTATTGTAAGTCCCTTGAAAGCACTGATGAAGGACCAGGTCCAAAGTTGGGGTTAGGGCAGCAGCTGTCAACAAAGACATGACAAGGATACAACAAAAAGTATGTTGGATAAAAAAAAAAATATATATATATATATATGTTAAAATAATAAGATGCTAAACATAAACGTTTTAGATTATGCCTCTTTAATACATAAAAAGAGAGCAAGAGAGATATTAAGGAGATAGGGAGGATTTAATTCTCTCTAACTTTATTGTATATTCCATCAGGTATCCTTGATGGAGAGGTCACTCATTCATATCTCAATCAAGAAAGGTGTATCGCCGGACATCTCAAAAGAAGTGCAGTGGTTGCTGGAGGATCTGGAGGAGTCAACGAGGAACACAAAAAATACTCATTTATTGCAGGAAAGTCTGCATGTGTTAAATCATGCAGTAAATCAATTTAAATGGATATTTTGGGATGTTGGCAATGAGGCCCTTAATCTACTTCCCCAGTCAGATTAACTCATGGATACCATTTTTATGTCTCTGCGTGCAGTTTGAAGGAAGTTGCTAACTAGCACTAGCACAATTGCTAACAAGCGTTGCTAATAGATACCCAAAGACTTCCAGTTATTCCACTAACGCTAGTTAGCATTGGCTCGTGAAACTACCTCTTAACTTCCTTCATAGTGGACACAGAGACATAAAATGGTATCGATTAGTTAATCTGACTCTGGGGAAGTAGGTAAAGGGCTTCGTTGCCAATATCCCGAAGTATCCCTTTAATGCAAAGCCCTTAGGGTTTATGAAAAAAATGCATGTAATTCATTAAGTAAACATGTAAATATGTCTAATTTAAGTATTAGTTACGATAAACACATATCTTTTTATTTTAATAAGTTACAATGCTGTAGATTTATTCAGTTTTTCGAAAATATTTATTTCATGTGTGCAGGACTGCCACATCTGTGACCAGAGTTTACGGCAAGCTGATGAAAGAACTAAGAGATGGGGCTTGGCTCAATGGTAATAGCATACAGGAGCACAAGCTTGTCGTCATGTACCACAACCATACAGACCCTCGCACTCCACAGTTGTGGAAAAAGTACTCAATTGTCATACTTGATTAAAAGTAAATGCTACACATCAAATTCCTTATATTAAGCCAACCAAATGGCACAATTGTCATTTTTTATTTTATTTTACGGACAACCAGGGGCACACTCCAACACTCAGACATAATTTACAAACGCAGTATTTGTGTTTAGTGAGTCCGCCAGATCAGAGGCATTAGGGATGCTTTATATTGATAGGTGTGTGAATTGGGCCATATTTCTGTCCTGCCTGAGCATAATTAAATACTACATCCCCT